ATCACACGGTAATTTTCCTCTACCCTTTTAGCAAGAATTCAGGTTTTATGTGCACAAATGAAGTATTATATAGAAAAATTATGCGAAAAACAGTGTAAAGTGGAATAATTAATAGAAGAACTTCACTTCCGAATTTGATCTGAACTTAGTGACAGTTTTTAGATGGGATATAATAAGAAAAGCCCATCTACTTAAATTTGCTACTAGCCTTGTGTTACAAGATGCTTAGAGTTGTAAACATCAAAATTTTATTTAACTCTAAAATATTAAATTTAACTTGACATTTAAGATTAGTAATATCAGACGATATATCACAATGATTAATTAACCCATAAAAAGGACTGATCAAATTGGGTTTCGGGGGGTATAGAGGGAGGGAAAGTGAAAATGGAAAGTAAACAATACTCTGAGAAAATATAATCATATATTTTGTATTTAAGTATGACTCATCTATGAAGTTTAATGAAACACTACAGGAGATGCATACAATACATAAAAATTGATTAATTGCAAATGAACGTTGAAAGAAAGGATGAAATACCATTGTCAGTTTACGAATTACCGAGGATACACAAAGAAGGAAGCCGCTAAAGCTGCTAGTCAGCAAACATAATAATGAGAGACGCAAACTGGAGAAATTTATATGCCTGAAACTGTATATTTAAACGACCTAGTCAAGAAATGATATGGATTTTATTAAATTGTAAGGGTCTATCCCTACATTTTCTCACTCACTGTTTTGTTTTATCACATTACGTGCGCTGCCATGACCCAACATCTTTTGACACAGACCACGCGACTAATCCTCACTTTATCTCAAAAGGACCAATCAAAGTTTGACAACTCATCGTGCCTATGGTGTGAATTAATCAGGTGGCAAGCAAAACTACGCAGGGGTATTTCAAGCGGAAAACATGCAATCTACATCGGTCACGTTTGTTTCCTCTTTCTTCGCTCCGCTGTGACCCGCGGAATTAGAAATTTTACTTTCTAACCTCAGCTCTATACTGTGAATCTGCTTGTTCTAAATATAACACTTGGTGATACGACTTTTCTTTTTCTTTCTTCGTCCCGAGATCCAATCCTATAGCACGACGTAGAGCCCCAGCATTTTATATTTCCGAGATAAACACTGTCCTCGGATCACAGCAAAATAATTAAATACATAGGACTGGAAGGAACATAGTATTGGTAAGTTTTGCTATATACTCTATGTATGCAAACATCTAAAGCAGAAAAATTGAATTGTGT